AAATATTGTTCCTATTTTTATTTTTAGATAGTACGTAAATACCGTTATACCCTCATTTTTTTTAACTTTATTCATTGAACTTCCTAATTTACCTTTAAATTATCCACTTGTCTTGTACTTTTTTCTACAATTATACCTTTTACTTTTTTCTTCTTAATTATCTTCTCGCCTTATACTTTTGTCTAATTTTTTCCACTTTTAATGTACTTCATTTACTTTCTCCTCTCAGTAAATACTGTAAAAAAATACAAACTAGAACAATATATTAGAACGGAGGGAGTACTTGTATAAAAACTATAATCATTTATAACTAGAAATTACAATAAAATTTTATTTACCCCTCATTTTATGATGTATATCCTTTGTTTATTAATTAAAAAAACAAGGTTAAAGTTAACAAAATGCGACTTTAAAAAGTCAAATTTCCCACTTTATTGGAGCTGATAGAGTACAGTATATGAACGTTTGGCTCGTAACCCTTTATCAAAATTTTTTTAAACAACTTCTCCAAACACCATCTAATTTCGCATAATTCTTCAAAATGCCTTCTTATACGGAGTAACTTATAACCTTAAACAATTATGAACTGACATCTCTTGTTAATCATATTCTATAGAATCATGAAAGTTTGATCATGCGTCATATTAAAATTATACACGAGTTGTCTTTACCAATCTAGCTCATATCTTTTTGACAAACAAGATATGAGCTAGATTGGTAAAAACAACTCATATCAATAACATATATAATGTCAATATCAAAATATCATCCACCGCTTGTAATAGCCAATCATTAGTCCATTATCCCTTTCTTTCCCTAGCATTTTAGTTTTGACTCCATGTTTATGAAAACAATAATTCATGTGCCAATTTTATTGACTTTGGTGTTCTTATGACTTTTCCTTAGTCATCACTTAATCACGAGCATGAAAATTTAGACTTAAAATAACTGGGATTTTAAGTATATATACAATACATTTAATCTTCAACAGCTGCAAATTTATTTCTAAGTTTACAGAAACAGATGAAAGTTCCAACAAACTTAATCATTCTCTTTAGCAAATGCCTTATTATAGGCCTTGCTTTTGGGAGTACCAAGACTTCTTGGTTGGTAAACAATGAACAAAAGCTCAATGGAAAACCACAAGTTGATGTACCTGAAATTGTGGAGTCAGGAAGAGGGATTGTTGCAGCTGATGACCGCCGTTGTTCAGAGGTTGGAGCATTGATGCTCCGACTAGGTGGACATGCTGTCGATGCTGCTGTTGCAACCGCGCTGTGTGTGGGTGTGGTTAATCCTATGGCTAGTGGAATAGGAGGAGGAGCTTTCATGGTTGTCAGGTCTGCATCAACATCAGAAGCTTTAGCTTTTGATATGAGAGAAACTGCTCCTTTAGCTGCTTCTGAGGTTCACTCTTGTCACTATTTTATCTAATTGCTTGATTTTGGTTTAGTAGTTTGGTAGTTTTATATGAAAACTGAATCAATTTTGACTGTATTCTACTGCTTTTGAAAAGAGGTATGCTGTTCTATCTTCATTGAATCCGAGTCCTTGTGTTGAAACTCAGTAAGATTGAGAGTCGGTATTGACATTATGTTGATATTTTTTTAACAAAAACAGAATATGTATGAGAATAATCTAGCGGCGAAGCTTTCAGGCCCCTTGTCAATGGGTGTACCTGGTGAGTTGGCTGGTCTCCATGAAGCATGGAAGAAGTACGGGCGGCTTTCATGGAAAACTCTATTCGAACCTTCCATACATTTTGCTGAAAATGGTTTTGAGGTTCTTCCATATCTTGAAAAGAACATATTAAAACATGAGAAGATGATCAGGGCTGATCCTGGTTTAAGGCAAGTGTTTGCACCAAACGGGAAGCTCTTGCAGACAAAGGACATATGCTACAATGTAAAGCTTGCAGAAAGCTTGAAGGCAATAGCGGAACAAGGGCCACGAGCCTTCTACAATGGCACGGTTGGTATGAAGTTAGTGAAGGATGTGAGAGAGGCAGGTGGGATTCTGACAGAGGAGGATCTTAGGAATTACAAAGTGAAAGTAACGAAAGCTTTAGCAGCTGATGTAATGGGGTATACGATACTAGGAATGCCACCTCTTTCAAGCGGTACCCTGGGAATGACCCTGGTTAGTGCTCTTAGCTACTGGTTGATGCACTCATGGTAGCACTAGCACCTCATATCCATCTTAGTGATGCATGAAAAATGTGCTATGATTGTGTCTTCTAGCAACACTCTCTTACCACTCTATGATGCTTTGAACTGTTAGAACTTAGTAAGGCTTCAGATATTGCACCTCTGATATAATGCCATTGGCTGATGTTTATATATTTCTTTTCTGTTTTTGAAGTACCCTGAGGTCTTGTAAAGTATCAACTGACGCATAAAATCAAACATCTGCAAACATCATGCCTATTGTTAGAATCAGCTTGTTTGTGACCTTAGAGGCTTAGACTCTTGGAGTATTTCTTTGCCAGATCTTTCATGAGGATATTTCTTACATTTTATCTATTATATTCAAAAAACCTATTAGTAAGGAGTTTTATACAAAAACTAAGGATATCTGTAAGGCTTAAATATTTCGGTGTATGGTTTAAGAAGCATATTTTTCCTAACTCAAAGAACACTTTTTCATTTTCTGGTGCAAAACAGATATTAAACATACTAAACAACTATGGGAGCCCCAATGCGATTGAAGGGTCTTTAGGCTTACATAGACTGATTGAGGCAATGAAGCATATGTTTGCTGTCAGAATGAACTTAGGTGACCCTGCTTTTGTTAACATTACTAAGTATTCGTCAGACATGGCTTCTACGTCTTTTGCAGAGGAAATTTGGCATAAGATATATGATAACACAACTTTCCCTCCTGAATATTACTTGAGCAGGTATATAAAGGAAGGATTTTTTAACTACCTTAAGATACACTGATAAAGGGAAAGGAAATTAAAGTGGGAAGGTTTTACAGTAAAATTTAACATATGCTTGAATTATGTAGGTGGAGTCAGCTTCAAGATAATGGAACGAGTCATTTCTGCATCGTTGATGCAGAGAGAAACGCAGTGTCAGTAACAACCACAGTCAACTATCCATTTGGAGGCGGGGTGTTATCCCCTTCTACTGGGATCGTGTTAAATAACGAGATGGGTGATTTTTCAACTCCTGCAGAAGTAAGCCCTGACAGTCTTCCTCCTGATCCTGCAAATTTCATACAACCAGGAAAACGACCCTTGTCTTCGATGACTCCCCTCATTATTCTCAAGGTAAGACAATGTTGTATTAATATCTTCACCCTTCTTTCCTTTTGAGAAGTTTAATTATGTTTCCCATATGGTTAATTGACAGGATGATCAGTTGGCTGGAGTTGTAGGTGGTAGTGGTGGGATGAACATAATTTCAGCAGTAACCCAGGTTTTCCTAAACCATTTTGTTCTGGGAATGGATCCTCTCACCGCTGTCCAAAGTGCAAGAGTCTACCATAAGGTTTTATTTTTCTCTTTTTCCTTGCTGTCAAAAAATTCATCTTAAAGATTATCAGAATTCAGAAATATTTTCAAACAACTGATAGAATCCAAAATACTACGTATAATTTTTTACTGAATTGCAATGGCCAACCTCTAAGTGAAAATTGATGTTCTGCAGCTAATTCCGAATGTAGTCTTATATGAGAATGTGACTGTGATTGACGGGGAGCACATTGAACTCCCCAAAGGAAGGAGGCTTTTTTGGAGAAGAGGGGTCACCAACTGCAGCCTATTGAAATTGGAGCAATCTGCCAGCTTATTGTTCAGACATTTGAAAGTTCAGTTGATCTAGGCCGGAAAACTGGAAATAATTTTATCGGTAACACATACTTTGGTAAACTTACTGGGGTAAGTGACCCCAGAAAAGATGGAAGGCCTGCAGCAGTGTGAATATGTGCATATAGGCTTAAGGTTAATTTGTGCATCTATGAATCTTGGTTAATGGTTAATTATTACCATAATCTCATCAAAAGACAGAGCTGCCACTAAGGCACAACATTCTTAAAATCAAAATAATTAAGTATACCTTCAGTAACTAATAATCTCTCCAGTAAATTGATAATAATTACTCATGGAGCAATTCACAGGTCTTGAACACTGTAAGCCCAGGACAACTAACGATTAAGCTCCTATCATATCATGCTCATCCTCAAGACCGAAAAGCTTAAACTTTCGAATATTAGCAAATCCCTTAGGGTCACTAGGTGAAAGATAACACGAGAGTTGTTGCATTATCCAAGAGCATCAATATAGGCAAAACTTATAATAATGTTTAGCCTGATAGAGAATACACGAATGGCCTTATTGATTTGTGTTCTCCTTTAATGTTTAACACAGTGGTACTTCTCTATTAGCTATAGTTGATTCCCTTGCTTTAACTAGTTCTTACAAATATGTTTATATCTAGTTTTCGTGATGAGGGGTGGCTTAGCAGAGATCCTGCTTGGTATAATAGGGCTTGTTCTCTGATTTACTAGGAACTTGGCTAGTTAAGATGGATAATGTACTCTGTTGCTTGGTAATAATAAGATGACAGGATTCACATATAGTTTATTTTCCATAAAAGTAAAATGCAAAGGAAACAATTTAACTTGAGCTACCAACAGTACTCAAAACTCAGAAGTACATTCTTAGACCAGGAAATGATTTCGGCACACCAACTGTGAGAACACATTTTTCTATACTCTTCTCACAATGAGGTGCGCCAAAATCAATCAAAGGGGTGCCAAAATCAGTCTCCTCTTAGACCCTCTTCTACTCCATATAAATAAGTTGTGCCTTTGTTGATGCTCTTTGGAGTCGCAACAGATCTCTCGACACCTTAAGCTTTGAAGTGGCATCAAGTTTTTCACACTTGAAGAGAAAAAGTTCTAGCACTTCCGAAATAGCAAGCAAGTACTTCCATGAATTTCAGCTCTGCACTTGATCCTTTTATGCCTGTAAATTTCACCTTAGTAAGATGGCCCTATTTGTAGCTGTCAATCCTGTAATCGCAGTCAATTTCGAGCTGAAAAACATCTGTGTTTGCTAAAACCTGCGGAATAAAACACAATCAATTATTGCATATAAACAATCAAAGAAGTCTTTACTCTTTAGATAATTTAGTTCTAAGGATAGTAGATGATATACAAAAACTAATATTAGCAAAGATTAACAAATTAGTTGTGAAGATTGATATATAATGTTTTTTAATATACTCACTGAAATTTCCAGATCCCTGATGCAAGGACAACTCTGTACCATGCCAATAACAAAATGATATACATCTACGCGACCCAAGTTAATTTCTGTCAAACAAAGCTTACTGAGGTAGTTAAATGACAGGGGAAGTGATTTTGTTACACCACTTGCAGCCAAATCCTTGCAAAACCAAGCCAGGAGATGAGATAATGAGGTAGAATACGAGTGACAAACAACTAAAGCAAAGTACGTGATTATTCTACAATGTCAAACAGTAATAAAAGCAATAAGATTTTACCTTGCACAAACGGCCCCCAAAATGAAGGTATTGAAGTTGACATGAAGTAGCAAGATCCCTAATCGAGTTGAGTTCTACTGCATCGCTATCAGGATACTCGTTCAAACACAGTGAGATGCTATTAAGACGTACAATGCTCTTGAGACAAAGACATTCTAAATCCCCACTAATAACTAGCCTTTCAAGACTAGGTACATCGATAATAACAGTATCCAAGACTACGCAATGCTCGAGTTTTAACACTATTAGCCTGGAACAACTTGCATTCAAACTCGCAAGCACATAACTTTGCTTGAATTTAATATTCCATAGACTAAGACTTCGAAGATTGGTGAAGCCCTTAAAGTCACGAGGTGGAGGATTCAGAGTAAAACACAGAAGCCTCAATTTGACCAACTCTTTGCATGAGAATATATGAGAAGGTATGGATGTGTGTTCGAATGAAAAGTTTATTAAAGCTATCTTTTTGACATTAGTCTTGGAAAGAAAAGATAGCCATTGGCTGAGATGAATGCACGTTATACTTACAGAAATTGGCACCAAAAGACGGAATTTATGTATAGGTCCATTGCGATAGAAGAGTATACTGCTGATGATGCCATTATAGTCTTTTTGCCCACCTCGTCCTTCCCAGAAAGTTGAGTCAAAGACAAGGTGTCTTTGAGACAACCAATTTTCCTTCCATTTTCTTGATAGCAAGCTCATTTTGGCTGCCATAATGAGAGGCAAGCGTTTAAGAAATTTTTCAGTCGCGATAGCTGGTAGATTACAGATTAAATCTTGTTTAGCTTCATCAATAGTGTTCATTTTGAGTTTGGATGAAGCCATTGGACACTGGACCTATTGACTACTAAGATTGAATAATATAGGGTAGTTAGGACTTAGGAGTAACATATGTTCTCACAACATACATTAACATTCTAAGACAAGTTTTCCCCCTCCGTACTCGGTTGTTTGCCCCATACACATACTCCATATTTTTACTTTATTAAGTTTTAGTTGAGTGAAACTGATGAGCAGGAAAAGTAGTGAGACCTAAAGTAATTTTTGTGGGAGCAAAGCAAAATGGTGCTGATGAGCAGGAAAAGTGGTGAGACCTAAAGTAATTTTTGTGGGAGCAAAGCAAAATGGTGCTCCACCAATCCACCATGTATATTTTCAGTACGAAGCAATCTTTAAAAGACAACTTTGAAAGCAAAATGAAACAAACAAAAAGGGGCGGAGGAAGTAGATAAATAATTACTCTGAAATACTCTCTCTGTCCCCTTTTTTTGCACCATAAGCCCACTTATGTGAGAATTTTATGAGTCATATGGTGCAAACATAAAAGGATAAAATGAGTACACTAATTAAAAAGTACATAGTAATCAATATAATAAGTGGAGTAATAACTATATAATAATTTCAAAGTCATTTTGCCTACTTCTCACCACACCATTCTAAATCTTCAATCCTCAAATTCTATACAACATTTTTTTTGTAAAAAAAAAAAAACCCAATAAATACCTATTCTACTAGCTCCCCAATAATTTATTAATTTTAGGAACCTAATTTCTAAAATTGTATTTCTATTGTAGGTATTATATCTCGTGCATTAGCACGAACACATTCCAGTGTATTTTAATTATATAGCACTCCCTACATTACAGCCAAAAAAAATCATTAAAAATAAGGAAAATTACAATTATTCTCGACAATTTTGCATGTTTAACCTTAGGAACCAATTATATAAAATCAAGGCTTACATTCAAAAATAAATACTCTCCCATGCTATTGGGCAATATGCTTTTGATTTCGATGTTTCAGATATGTTGTATACATTTATTTATAGCCTAATTCAAATATAAACCAACTAAATTCAATCACTTAACACAATAATGTCATACATAAACCAACAAAAACCAGTAATATTTCAACCATAATGTTTATTAGCAGTACAATTAGAGTAATCAATTATTCACTCATATTCACATACAACAAATTTGGGTGATAATCGATGTAATCAATTACTAACAAAATAAAAAATTCAATTAAGTGATTTCAAGTATTTTAACATACAATAATTCAACAAATTTCACTATAATTTAATACAAAAAAATAAAAAAACTTTCTTATCATCAATTAATCATCTAACGCAAGGTATGTTGGATAATATTCCTCCTTATTATTAGAATTTGCTAAAAATAAATAAAGGAGAATTTACAAGGAAGAGAAAAAGAATGAGAGGAATAAAAGGAAAGAAAAAGAAGGAGAGTAGTAGCAAAATAAGAAATAATCAATGGCAAATTATATAACGATAATTTGCATCATTAGTTATTTAGATATAGGCTGATTATAAATATGTTTGTTAATTGTAAATTGAGATAGAATTTTTATCACATTATTTTTGATAAATAGAAACACAATTTAAATTTGAGAGTATACCATCGAATATTAATTTATAGTTTATAAATACTTTGTGAGTTAATCTATAATGTTATAGAGATATAATTGTTACCTATTTTGTTTATACACAAAGGGAAAGAAAATATTATTTCCGCTACAAGATTATTTGTGATCTTTCCCAACAAGGTATTAGCAATGTGGAAACAAAAATCCAATCCAAATTTCCAAAGTAAAAATTACAAATGAATTGAAGAGAAAAAGAATAATCGATGAACATACCTTCACTGGCTTAATTGAAGAGAGGGAAGAGGTGAACAGTGGAGAAAGGGCCCTCTACGTATCAATAAAAAGAAAAAAAAATCTGACTAAAAAAAATAAATTAAATTTTAACCCCATACCACCCTAATTTCAGTCCTAGTTCTAATGCCATATCAGTATACCACTTTGTGAATCTAACGCCCAATATTACACTTAATTGATACGAATAAATAACGATATAATTCGCCCCTATAGTTTTAGGTTATTTAATTGATACGAATATAATACTACCTTCGTTGTTTTTTATTTGCATCAGTTTGACCGACATATTTGCCGAGACGCAACTTTGAACATTAATATTTTTTATTGTCTATTAGTAAAAATGGTAACAAAATTATATTATGAAACTAGACATTATGACTAATCTAATGATATATTATATAATAATATTTATTTATTTTATAGAGGTGAAAAAATTAAGTCAACCATGGTATGTAAATAGTGCGAAAATCAAAGTGATGCATTTAAAAAAAAACGGAGGGAGTAAATAGTAAGTGAGGTAGTTGGATTATATAAATTTTATAAAAGTAATATAGTGGGTTAATAGTTTATTGAAAAGTAAGGAATGTTAGAGGAAAAAAATAATTAGAAAAACATTCGTAGTGGGTTTAGGTGAGACCGTAAGAAAAGAGATACAATATAATATTAAAATGTAGATTTTTGCCAAAAGGGGAAATGTAACATTTATAAAACAACACGATCGTATTTGAGAATTGAGATTACTCCCTCCGTATTTTAATGAGTGTTACAGTACAGTTTGACTTTTTTCGCTATTCACATAATGGGTTTGACTTGATTAATTACTAATATATAAAAAAACAAATGTTATTGTATAAAACATTGTTGGATTCGTTATAATGTATACTTTCATAATATCAATTTTTCTACAATTTTATTAACATATGATTAGATAAATTAATGGTCAAAGTCAATTTTATTAACATATGATTAGATAAATTAATGGTCAAAGTCGTGTATCGACATGCGTATTTGGTCAAACTGTAACACTTGTTAAAACACGGAGGGAACACTATGAGTAGTATAAAATTAATACTCCCTCAATTCCCAAAGCAAGGTTACGTTTGGGTGGTTTTCATGGTTAATAAGGAAAATAAGATGATGGAAAACAAGTTTAAATTAACTTTAAAAATATGAACATTTGTATTGGGTATTGGGAGTAAGTAAATGTTTTTGTAGATAGGAATAGTTACATTGTAAATATGTAGCTATTTTGATAAATGGGGATAGTTGCATGGAAAATATGCAAGTATTGAGGAAAATATGTAAAAAAATAATTATTTTAAATTAAGAAATAATTGGAACGTAATCATTAAAGGGAAACGCCAAAACCCCTCTTTATGAACGAAGGGTGTACAATGTACATGTACAAGAAATATATTTTTGAGAGGGAGGAATAGCTCAAGTGGTTAGAGCTTTCTCCCTGTTCCAAGAGATCTATAATTCAGAGTAAAAAAAAATTGAAAGATCATTTCCTCTCAACAATGAATTCGCCAATTACATCTTCTGATTAAAAGATTCATTGAAACGATAAAATTAACTCCGTAATAACATTGAATAATTTTGAAATTCAAAATTTATCTCTCTATATAAACTCAATTTCACTCTCTTAACAAAAAAATAAAATTTTATTTTCTCATACAAACATATTTTCCATGCAAGATACAATTATTCTAAAGGTGATCAAAATTTGGGCCGGGTGGGGCCTTAACATAGAAAACTAGTTCCCAAACCCGCAAGAAAGTAGCGGGCTTCTCGGGCCAAAGTGGGCCTTTTGAGCTTTTTCGGGTCAGATTTGAGTTTTTAACTAAATGAGTTTTTACCCTTGCCCAAACCCGCCCTATTTTTAGGCCGGATCGGGCCAGATCGCTGTTGATCTCTAAGTTATTCTTATATATCAAAATATTGACGTATTCTCAATGCAACTATTCCTATACAAAAATATTTACATGCTTTCAATATAAAGATTCCAATTTATTTTTTTTTTAGAAAACTTTCAAAGTTAATTTAATGTTTGTTTTGGTACATTTGTAGAAGCTTCTCTTGGAAGCTTTTTGACGACTGAGGAGTGAGGATTGTTTGAGCTAGTATCAAAAGTCAAGAAAGGAGAGGACGGAAAGGGTGTTTGAGTGAATCTTCTTAGGTTCGGATTTTCAGGACAACCTTCACAAAACTGTCCGTTGCCGGAACTTTGACCGTAGGATCGTTGTTGGGAATTCACAGTGCCTCTACTTGGAACGGTTGGATCGTCATTTGAAGCTCTGATTTGTCTGGAATTGCTGTTGGAAAGAGACCCTACGTTTGGTAATATTCTTCACTTTTGCTCTTCTACTAATTATTATTCTCTTATTCATGTACTTGTTTGTGGATTGACGGGTTGAGACACTTTGTTGACTGATTTGGGTTTCTTTTGCCCTTAATTTTATGTTTGAAATTATTTAAGCCTAATTATTTAGCTAATGTGCCAATGTATGCTTAGGCCTTATAGTTTTGTCATTAAGTTGTATGTAAACCGTGACTAATGATAATCAAAGGCAAGGAAATTGAATTCCCGACACAAATAGTTACAAGTAATTTGAAACAGATGTAGTATGATAATAAAGAAATGAAGAAAGAGGACTCCTCACAAGTCCCCTGGTTTTTACTCTTCACATCAAAGGGTTTTTCTAGGTTTTTACAGTGTGTAATTGTGGTTTTACTTCTTCCATATTGTTGCTTCACTTGCTTGTTCTTGCTGTCCATCTTGGTTGTTTTGCTTGGTGGATTATTTGTAGTGAATTTCGGTTGTTTTTTGTTATATTTGTGGGTGTTGACTCGGGTCCTACACTAGATACACTTTTCTGCATTGTTTGTATACTCCTCTTATAAGACTTGGCCAAATTTCAGGATCAATCTCTAAGTAGTGGGAAATGGCTTCTTCCGAGTCTAGTAAAAAAATCCAAGGTCCCTGAAAGCAACCAAGATTTAATCAGTAGTCTTCCAACTGATCTGATAGATGAGATCCTTAAACTTTTACCAGTGTCAATGTTAGCTAAGACAAGTGTGCTATCAAGAAAATGGAGGCGTAATTGGTTGTCCCTTAAGTACCTTATCTTTAATAAAGCTTTCTGGGAAGAACATAAATCAAGCACATATTTTGATTGGAAACGTATCAACGAAATCATCAGTGGTATATTGCTTCATCACAATGGTCCTGTTCATGAGTTCTATCTTCATGTCCCAAACGATCCAGATCAGGAATTTTACCTTAATCTAAGTCAGTGGCTATCTTTTCTATCAAGAGCCGCGATTAAAAAGATCACTCTTGTGAATTTGGCTAAAGCTGATAGCCTACCTATTATGCCTTCTCATATTTTCTCATGCAATGAGCTGGTTGATTTGAAAATTGTTTATTATGCACTGAATGCTCCACCAAGTGACTGTTTGGGCTTTGCTTATCTTCAAAATCTTGAGCTACTGTCTGTTGAATTTAAACATGATGTTTTCAGAAGTTTGATCGCAAGTTGTCCAGGACTTACTCAGTTAAAGCTTAAAGATTGCATTGGAATTACTAATCTGGTTTTTGATCATGTGCCTATCCTTGTCCCCAATGGAAAACACTACATACTTAGAAACAGTCCGCGCTATTCTGACTTTTGCAATGCCGCCTGTTAGGCTTCAATATCTTCGATTTGATGGCCACCTCTGTAAGGTAAAATACATACAGTAGCTACTATTTCTATTATAGTATTCAATATCAGAAAATAAATATATTTTGGTCCCTTTATATGATCTCTGTTCTCTTTGTTATGCAAGTTCTTGGCTGCCGGTTGTTTCAAAAAACTTACTCAGACATTTAGTCACCTGCGAATTCTTTGCTTGACAAAGCTCGACTTGGATGATTTTAATGTATTTTGTTTCACTATCAACATGGTTCAAAATTGTCCCTATATCAAGTATCTTGAATTATCATCAGTAAGTATGTATACGTTAATTTCATAGCATATGTTATAGTATTAATACACAGATTTTGAAGTTAATAACCTTATTTCAACTTTAACGAGTTTTGTTCAATTATCGTGTTCCCCTGTGTTTTTTAATGCTAAAGAAATTATTGTGTCATTGTGGACAGATTACTCCGAACAAAAGCGTTCTTCAACACAAATTTGACTACGACAACAATTTTAAGCTTAGACATCTCCTTAAGGCAAAAATTACAGGTATTACTGGATCAAGTGCGGAGCTCAAATTGGTAGAATATATTGTTGGTATCTCAGTTAAGCTGACAAGATTTCTGTTTAAGTGTAATAATCTTGACCCGAGCTCAGAGCTAAAGGTGTTGCGCGAGCTATTACAGTTGCCAAGAGCATCGAAAAAGGCTAAACTTGTTTGTCTGGCGCAATAGAGTATGTAGGTTTGGCTTTGTTGGTTATTATGTATAGTTAATTAGTTATGTTCTTGCATTTTCCTCAAATGATCATGAGCTGTGTTTTGCTGTATGAAATGTTAAAATATTTCAATGTATGTATAAAATGTTAGGGGAATTTTTTGAGAATTGAAGACTATGAAGAAATTTTATTGAAGAAAATGTTGTACTGAATTCATATTTTACCCAAACTTATGGGTTACATTTAAAAACAAACTAGGTTAAAATTCCGTGCAATGCACGTTTGTTACATATTTTTGACAAAATTTTTTCACAAGATGATGACAAGTATCATGAAAGGATTTGCTTTTAGTATGGGTTAATAGATAGATACTCTCCCATGCCTAGGCAATATGCTTTCGATTTTTAGCTAACATGCCTGTTTTTTTGTTTTGTTTCGTTTTTTTTTTTTAACAGATTTTTTTGTTCTTTTTAGTTAACATGTTTATTTTGTTACATTTACCAGCATACAATCATATAAATTTAACAGTTATACTTCTAATTATGTCGGAGTAAAAATTATAAAAAAAAAGTTGATATTAATAAAATTTTATATCCGCGCATTTAAATAGGCTGTTCACGGAGGGATATCAGAAATTGATATCCAAATTCGATCCGAAATTTTCGAATATTCGGATATTCGAAATTTTCGAATCGAATGCTTCGGATATCCATTATCCAATATTAATTAAAATTGATTAGGATTATTTTCTAAATTTAACTAGTTTTGTCGCTTTTTTATCGTCAAGCTGTACAACATATTTTAACAAAATAGTACTTTTTTTTGCAATAAAAATTATCATAAAATATAATAAGAATATTATATATAAAGCTAATAATACATGGTCAGTTTTATTTGAACAATTTAAAAATTCTATATATTTCACTATTTCAGCCTTTATTTTTTGGATATTGGATATCTAAAAATTTGAAAATCAATATCCAAATCCGCATCCAATATCCGCCTTTTCAGATCGGATATCCGATCCAAAATGAAAACTCGGATCAGATATCCAAAAATTCGATCGGATTGATTGCGGATCGAATTTTCAGATCATTTTGCACATGCCTACATTTAAACATGATCCCACATGACCATATTTTACCAGATTAATAATTACTTGCTCTGTTTTTTTTTTTTTTTTTTTTTTTTTTTTTTTTTTTTTACTTGCAATAGTTTAACTTTTACACTATTTACATATCTCACTTTGACTAGATTGGGCGATTTATAGGTTAGGAAAAATATAATCATGTGAAATCTTGTTATACTTATCTCGATTTACACTTTCATAATATAAGCAAAAGAAGAAGAAGAGTACTGAACTGAATGCTCTGCCAAGTGACTGTATTGGCTTCGCTCATCTTCGGATTCTTGAGCTAATCTCTTTTGAAATTAAACATGGTGTATTCAGTAGTTTGATCACAAGTTGTCCACGACTTACTTCATTAACACTTGGGTATATCATTGGTAATAATAATCTAGTTTTTGAACATGTGCCTATCCTGGAAGACTTAACTGTTCATGGCCCTTTTGCGTCGCTGGCTTTCATAAATGTTTTTCGTCTCAAGCGCATTTCACTATCATTATCCTCAATGGGGAACGCTTCATACATAGAAAGATTAGAAACAGTTAAACGATTAAGATCCTTGCAATTCCGCCAGTTAAGCTTCAAAACCTTGAATTTGATGGCACCTTCTATTAAGGTAGATTAAAATCACAGCTACAATATCTATTATAGTATTCATTATTTGAAAATACTTGTTTTATATATTGGTCACTTTATAGAATCTTTGTTCTGTTTGCTATGCAAGTTCTTGGCTGCAGGTTGTAACAACAAACTTACTCAGACATTTAATCACCTGCAAAAGCTTTGCCTGACAGAACTCGACTTGGATGATTTTAATGTATTTCGTTTCACTATCAGCATGGTTCAAAATTGTCCCTATATCAAGGATCTTGAATTATCAGTAAGTACTCGTATAATTTATGCATAAATTTTATAGCATATGTTTTAGAATTGACTCACAGATCTATCTCGAAGATAATAGCCATAGTTTTACAGCATGAAACATTTTGCAGAAGTCGAATCTACCCTATGAAACTTTCAAGAGTTTTGTTCAATTACCGTGTCTATACAAGGCACCCCTGTGCTTTTTAATGCTAAGAAATTACTGTGTCATTGTGGACAGATTACTCCGAACAAAAGCATTCTACAGCACAAATTTGACTATGGCAACAATAACAAGCTTGGACATCTCGCTAAGGCAAAAATTACAGGTATTACTGGGTCAAGTGTGGAGCTCAAATTGATTGAATATGTGCTTGGTATCTCAGTTGTGCTGGAAAAATTGCTGTTGAAGTGTAATGATCTTGACTCGACTTCAGAGCTAAAGGTGATGCGAGAGCTATTGCAGTTGCCAAGAGCATCGACAAAGGCAAAAATTCTTTGTTTCGCGTAATAGAGGATCTAGGAATGACCTTATGTGTTGTTCTAGATCTTGTGTTTTGCTAAATACTAGTAAATTGTTTGGGGGAAAAATTGATAATTGAGGAGCTTTTGTTGATTACATAACATGATATATTGAATTCATATTTTGCCCCAAACTAATGAAAATAGAAACAAAAGAAAGAACAAAGAAATACTTCACCCGCCTTATTATTATCATTGCAACAGTTGGACTTTTATGATTGTCAATGTATAACTATAGCCATTTGTGCTTGAAGAATTGCAACTCAAGTTTGATAGGATTACTTCAGATTAGAGCTAAAGGTCGGCAATCATATCATGTATGATTTCACTCTTTTTATTTCATTTGTTGCGAGCTTAGCTGAGCATGGAGCTAGTCTGTGGGAGGGTAAGATTCTCTCTCCTTTCTTTCAAACTTTGCTCTAAAGTCCTTTTTTTAACCGGAATTTTGAACGAAGGGCGTAAAGACGAGTTCCAAGAGTTGTCTAAGCACATCCATTCTCTTAGGGCTTAGGGGATGCCAAAAGCTAGCATCACTCTCATATCTCTTTACCTTTCTACCACGGTTGAAGGAATGTCCAAGGGCAACATAACGAAAGAGGAAGGAAGATTCTCCCGCTGGTGCTTACTCTCAGTCTCAAGGAAAAGCTTTTATGACTGGGCAGACATACCGAATAGTCAAAGAGAAGGAATAGACCTAGGAAGGAAAGAAAGCCCCTCGATACAAAGGAAACCAAGAGCATAACAAAGGCAAAATCTGTTTGTTTGATGCAATAGAATAGAAGATATTGGAAAGGCCTTTGGAGTATGTTTTTTTTTTTTTTTTTTTTTTTTTTTTGCCTACTCTGCCTCAAATGGTCAAAACTTCTTTATTTACTTATTTATTTTTAATTGATAAAATGCTTTTTTTAATAAAAATAATAAAATGTTACTGCATCCACAATTATTAGGAAAAAAATGCAACTTGAATAAGCCTTAGATTATAACATAACTTCATTTTATTGCAAATGAATGACAAAATTACAGCTATTCCACAGAAAGGAACGTTCCACTTAAATTCTTGAAATAAAACAGGCTTAGTAACAAACTTAGTGATTGTTAACAGCAGTGTCCTCTATTTGTAGGATAGTGAATTTGAAAATTCGGCGAAAACAAGGATGTCAACATATACAATATAACCTAAAATGTACCTCATCCAAGCACATAATTAAGATGCTTTATCCATCAACTGTATAGGGGCCAAAATGTTAGATTTGTTCGTCTCGACGATACATCCATTCATCACCATTTCCTCCAACATAAAATGCGCTTTCTCTAGATGGAACATAATATCTAGCTCACACTGCATTATCGCAATTAAAATTAAGAATAAAGACCATATGATAATACAAGTTTTAAGAAGGAAGTATGCAGTATGACACTCACCACATTGCCAAAGTGTCGATCCATGGTTTCCACCAATAAATGTATGAACTCCAGAATTGCAAGCTCATTCTGCAACATATTAGAGAGCAATAAAATACTTTATTAAATGCTGAGGTGAGAGTTAACTTATGCAGCAAAGAAATCATAAGACAGAGTATCTCCATCAGTACATTATTACACATAAAAATCGCAAGCAACAGGCTACATTAAAACAAGATGAAAACTATGAGACTTGACCAAATTAATTGTTCTATGATTTGCATCAGAAGAGCTCGGGTACTGAAGATACTACAGCATTGAGAGAAGGGGATGAAAAGTCAAACACAAGTTACACCAGTCTCATATCTATCTCGAATCCCAAGTAAGGATTTAACAGGAATAAGTAGGTCAAACAGTGTTGAACTTGAGCTATTGAAAGATTCCGGATTCCAAACAGAAACCAAAAGACAATAAAAGAAAATTTAATAATTGAAGTTTGTCCTGCTTTACCACCACTCATTCTAGATGTACAACTTTTTTGTATTATACAATGCCATCAGCATATGTGTAGTGTATAGTTGTATACACAAGCAAGATCAAACATATAAACTAAGCAATATTCAAGAAATTGGAGAATAGCTAAGAACATAATAATTCCATCTTCACTTCGAAGTTTAAACCTTTTTTTTTTTTTTTTAAGAATCGCTCTATGGAGGACCTTAAGCCAAGAACAGGATGGAAAATTTGACAGGCAAGGAAAACTAAGGTAAGCGAATGTTTGAATGTGAAAGGAAAAAGGAGATAAGATGAGGATAAAATGGTTTAGGGAAGATGATTGTTGAGATGTCCATAGATATGAAAAGAAACTCAACTGCCCATCTTCCCAATGGATGATGATGTTTGCAGGGAATTCTTTCAGCGTAGAGTGCAAGATTGCCGCATAATACTGATACACACAATCCCAGCTATTTTCATTCCCTCTGATTGAAGAATCACTAAAATGAATGTACAAAAAGACAATAATTATTACATACTTCAATAGCCTGTCTATCATAGCTGGCTGCAGAAACTCTCAGCAAGAGTACATTTACACTTTTTACAGCAAAGCACAAAAACATTTCTATCCTCAACTTTCTGATAGAAAAAACATCAGGATTACTGAAAGTAACATCATCTGCAATACATTTTAACTTGTATTGTTTTTAGGAGGTACGATGTATAAATCATCCCCCAATAGAGTATAAAGACCCAAATTAAACGAGTAGCACACTAGCAGAAGGGATGTAAATTTGGAGATATCATATAAGAATGTGATCATAGGAGAATTAACAGATATCACGAAACATAGTTGCTCCCTCTTCCCAACAAAGATAGAGGGAAATTATTTAGACCTATAACATGTTTTAACAGCGCAATACTGATACACAAAGACAGGATCAGCACAGGGTATAGTTGTTGTTGCTCAAATAAGACTCCACAAAACATAGAAATCACCAACACAACACTTACGATGGAAGATACGTGAAATTTATTAATAAATAAGAGTCTGACCGGGTGTTTAGTTGGCAGTTTGGCACAAAAATCCAAGTGAAAAGCAGAAAACTGAGGAGTTAACACTGGAAAATTTTACTTCCCACAAATTGGGGCTAGGTAAGTGGAGCTTTCGATAAAAATCTCTACTCCTTACAACCAGTGGCGGACCCAGCGTAGTTCACGCTGGGTCACATGACCCAGGAAGTTTAAGGCTTAAAAATTAATGAAAGCAAGAGTAACACAAAAGTAGCTCTGTGGTTCAGCGGTAAATGCTTTGATTGAATCCCACACCAAACCTTTTGTGCCTTTTTTTTCCCCCATTTTATATGCTAGCTTGTTAGACATTATTGTATTATGTTTTGTTTTTCTTTTGTTTCATTATTTGATTTGTATTATTGTTTGGGCCTAATTGTTTCTACTTTTCCTTAAAATCAAAGAACATGTATATTATTTATTTTTTAAAAAACTTTCATACTTTTTGTTTGACTATTTTTTTACTTGACAATTTACATACTAGCCTATTAATTTCTATAATTTTTTTTCTTCATTTCATTTTTATCACTGTATATATAACTTTTTCCTTTTCATTAAAATCATATATATATATATATATATATATATATATATACACACACACACAAAATCATAATTTTATTTTGTACATGTATATTATTATATACATCAATTAACTAATTTAAATTATCTTATGCAATGTTCGATAACTCCTTAAGTCCGAACCCATAATGGATATTTTTATAATCCGCCACTGCTTTTATTTATATAATCCTAGCTTTGTAGTCCATAATTGTAACCTATATTACATGAGTAATATCAATTAATCTCATTGAAATTGTAACTTAATTTTTAAAATGAAAAGGAAAATACATGTGATATAACAAGTTTCTTTAGTCCTAAAATTCATCCTCCTCCACAAAATCATCCTCCATCACAAAATCATCCTTCACAAAATCCACTTTTTGGGTCGATGGATGATGGTGACCAAGCACCCATAAAATCCTAGATCGGCCACTGCTTACAACCAAACAGTTTTCTATACTTTACAAGTTTTCAGCAAGTTAGACTCCATGAGACTTGCAAAACCCTCAAAGTCTAACTTCCTACATTCACATATCAAACTAAACGACAACTAAGAAATCCTAAAATGAGGTTTCAAGACCTTTTTTTTCTTTGAAAGTAGATGCTTGAACTCAGCCTATAACATGAATACCATATCCGAGGTCTTGAGGTTATAAAGAAGCCTGACACCCAAAAGAGTGATAATAAAAGTGAGCATGCACACAAACACATGCATTCATGCCTGTGCACTAAAATAGAAAGCTGCCTTAAGCTGTTTAAAACACGACAAGCTATACCAAAGCTACAGCTAGAAATAACATATTCGGACAGATAAAGACTTAAATGAGAGCAAATAATCACCTCATCGTTGTCAACTCCAACCAAGAAAAATAGAGATGCATAGCGCCTATATACAATCTTGTAATTGCGATGTTCCACAAACGAACACTGCCATGTCAAAAGGGGAAATGTTTGTTTAGTAATTTGTCAAACCAGAAGCAAGCACGGTCATACAAACTCACTTGTGGAACAAGTTTAATTATCTTTTAAATCAGTAGCTAAAGTAAGACTGATTTTCATACTATACGGATAATCAAATTGCTAAACAAAATTGCATTAAACCAACAATAATCCATATGTCACTAAACAGTTCAAGACAAGGGGCAACAAACATGAGTAACTTTGGTACAACATTAATTATTAACTTTACAACAAATAAAAATCACACAGATAGCTGGTTTATTTACAGTGGAGGAATAAAACAATGTTAGAGAACCTCCAAACAATCAAATTGCACACTTCAGCTTAGCAAATTTAAAGCTTTCAGTTGGTATTTATGAATTATCAAAAATCATACTCACAAAGTCACAATCCACAATAAAAACCTTACCTTGCAATTCTTATAAAGATCAAACAGACATAAAATTCTGTAAAAGGGGGATCCAAAACCCTAAACACCCAAAATTAATTACAGCAAAAACAAGATCATAAATCATAACAAAAAAGAAGGAAGACCTAAATTTCAAATACTAGTATACAACTACCCGCAATCCAATTTGTTCATCTGGATGACAAATTACCAGACCCATAACAGAAAAAACCCAGAATTAATCCAAATTTTTCACAATTAGCCCAATGTCAATAACACCCAGATCAATGCTCATTAATAGAAGCATGAACAAGAT